CCAGCCACATCTCCAGCACACAAGAAATTCCAAACTCCTGAACCCGCAGCTGCCAGGGGTTCCCCCAGAACCTCCTCCCCCAGGAGCTTGCGTCAAATGCTGGAAATCTGGCCACTGGGCCAAGGAATGCCCGCAGCCCAGGATTCCTCCTAAGTCTTGTCCCATCTGTGCGGGACCCCACTGGAAATCGGACTGTCCAACTCACCGGCAGCCACTCCCAGAGCCCCTGAAACTCCGGCCCAAGGCTCTCTGACTCCTTCCCAGATCTCCTTGGCTTAGCAGCTGAAGACTGATGTTGCCCAATCACCTCGGAAGATTCCTGGACCATCACAGACGCTTTCAGTAAATCTTACGGTAGAGGGTAAGTCTGTCCCCTTCTTAATCAATACGGAGGCTACCCACTCCACATTATCTTCTTTTCAAGGGCCTGTTTCCCTTGCCTCCATAACTGTTGTAGGAATTGATGGCCAGGCTCCTAAACCTCTTAAAACTCCTCAACTCTGGTGCCAACTTGGACAATATTCTTTTTAGTTATACACTCCTTTTTAGTCATCCCCACCTGCCCAGTTCCCTTAATTAGGCCGAGACATTTTAACCAAAGTATCTGCTTCCCTGATCATTCCTGGATTACAGCCACATCCATTGCCACTCTTCTTCCCAACCAAAGCCTCCTTCGTGTCTTCCTCTCGTATCCCCCATCTTAACCCACAAGTATAGGACACCTCTACTCCCTCCTTGGCAATGAATGATGCACCCCTTACCATCCCATTAAAACCTAATCACCCTTATCCTGCTCAATGCCAATATCCCATCCCACAGCACGCTTTAAAAGGATTAAAGCCTGTTATCACTCGCCTGTTACAGCATGGCCTTTTAAAGCCTGTAAACTCCCCTTACAATTCCCCCATTTTACCTGTCCTAAAACCAGACAAGGCTTACAGGTTAGTTCAGGATCTGCACCTTATCTACCAAATTGCCTTGCCTATCCACCCCGTGGTGCCCAACCCATATACTCTTCTATCCTCAATACCTCCCTCCATGACCCATTGTTCTGTTCTGGATCTCAAACATGCTTTCTTTACTATTCCTTTACACCCTTCATCCCAGCCTCTCTTTGCTTTCACTTGGACTGACCCTGACACCCATCAGGCTCAGCAAACTACCTGGGCTGTGCTGCCGCAAGGCTTCACAGACAGCCCCTATTACTTCAGTCAAGCCCAAATTTCTTCCTCATCTGTTACCTATCTCGGCATAATTCTCATGAAAACACACATGCTCTCCCTGCTCATCGTGTCTGGTTAATCTCCCAAACCCCAATCCCTTCTACAAAGCAACAACTCCTTTCCTTCCTAGGCATGGTTAGTGCGGTCAGAATTCTTACACAAGAGCTGGGACTGCACCCTGTAGCCTTTCTGTCCAAACAACTTGACCTTACTGTTTTAGCCTAGCCCTCATGTCTGCGTGCAGCAGCTGCCACTGCTTTAATACTTTTAGAGGCCCTCCAAATCACAAACTGTGCTCAACTCACTCTACAGTTCTCATAACTTCCAGAATCTATTTTCTTCCTCCCACCTGATGCATATACTTTCTGCCCCACTCCACTACTTCTCAGCAAGCCGAACTCATTGCCTTAACTTGAGCCCTCACTCTTGCAAAGGGACTACACGTCAATATTTATACTGGCTCTAAATATGCCTTCCATATCCTGCACCACCATGCTGTTACATGGGCAAAAAGAGGTTTCCTCACTGCACAAGGGTCCTCCATCATTAATGCCTCTTTAATAAAAACTCTTCTCAAGGCCGCTTTACTTCCAAAGGAAGCTGGAGTCATTCACTGCAAGGGCCATCAAAAGGCATCAGATCCCATGCTCAGGACAACACTTACGCAAGAAGGTAGCTAAAAAAGCAGCCATCAAAAGGATCAGATCCCATTGCTCCGGACAATGCTTATGCTGATAAGGTAGCTAAAAAAGCAACTAGCCTTCCAACTTCTATCCCTCATGGCAGTTTTTCTCCTTCTCATCTGGCCACTCCCACCTACTCCCCCACTGAAACTTCCACCCATCAATCTCTTCCCACATAAGGCCAATGGTTCTTGGACCAAGGAAAATATCTCCTTCCAGCCGCACTGGCCCATTCTATTCTGTCATCATTTCATAACCTCTTCCATGTAGGTTACAAGCTGCTAGCTGGCCTCTTAGAACCTCTCATTTCCTTGCCATCATGGAAATCTATCCTTAAGGCAATCACTTCTCAGTGTTCCATCTGCTATTCTACTACCCCTCAGGGATTGTTCAGCATCCCCCCCTTCCCTACATATCAAGCTTGGGGATTTGCCCCTGCCCAGGACTGGAAAATTGACTTTACTCAGATGCCTCGAGTTAGGAAACTAAAATACCTCTTGGTCTGGGTAGACACTTTCACTGGATGGATAGAGGCCTTTCCCACAGGGTCTGAGAAGGACACCACAGTCATTTCTTCCCTTTTGTCAGACATAATTCCTTGGTTTAGCCTTCCCATCTCTATACAGTCTGATAACGGACCGGCCTTTATTAGTCAAATCACCCAAAAAGTTTCTCAGGCTCTTGGTATTCAGTGGAAACTTCATACCCCTTACCATCCTCAACCTTCAGGAAAGGTAGAATGGACTAATGGTCTTTTAAAGACACCTCACCAAGCTCAGCTTCCAACTTAAAAAAAAAAAGACTTCTGTCAAAAATAGAGCCCAAAAACTCACCAACCAAACGGTAATTACACACTGAACCCCCTTGGACACTCTCTAATTGGATGTCCTGAGTCCTCCCAATTCTTAGTCCTTTAATACCTGTTTTTTACCTCTTATTTGGATCTTGTGTCTTTCGTTTAGTTTCTCAATTCATACAAAACCACACCCAGGCCATCACCAATCATTCTATATGACAAATGCTCCTTTTAACAACCCCACAATACCTCCCGTTACCACAAAATCTTCCTTCAACTTAATCTCTCCCACTCTAGGTTCCCACGCCACCCCTAATCCCACTCGAAGCAGCCCTGAGAAACATCGTCCATTATCTCTCCATACCATCCCCAAAAATTTTCACCGCCCCAACACTTTACCACTATTTCATTTTATTTTTCTTATTAATATAAGAAGACAGGAATGTCAGGCCTCTGAGCCCAAGCTAAGCCATCATATCCCCTGTGACCTGTGCTTATACATCCAGATGGCCTGAAGTAACTGAAGAATCACAAAAGAAGTGAAAATGGCCTGTTCCTGCCTTAACTGATGTCATTACCTTGTGAAATTTCTTCTCCTGGCTCATCCTGGCTCAAAAGCTCCCCTACTGAGCACCTTGTGACCCCCACCCCTGCCCGCCAGAGAACAACCCCCTTTGACTGTTATTTTCCTTTACCTACCCAAATCCTATAAAACGGCCCCACCCCATCTCCCTTCGTTGACTCTCTTTTCGGACTCAGCCCGCCTGCACCCAGGTGATTAAAAAACTTTATTGCTCACACAAAGCCTGTTTGGTGGTCTCTTCACACGGATGCGAGTGAAACCCATCTCTACTAAAAATACTAAAATTAGCCAGGTATGGTGGTGTGCGTCTGTAATCCCAGCTACTCAGGAGAATCGCTCGAACCCAGGAGACGGAGACTGCAGTGAGTCAAGATCGCACCACTGCACTCCAGTCTGGGCGACAGAGAAAGACTCCACCTCAAAAAAGAAGAAGAAGAAGGAGGAGGAGGAGGAGGGGGAGGAGGAGGAGGGAGAGGAGGAGGAGGAGGGGGAGGAGGAGGAGGGGGAGGAGGAGGAGGAAGAAGAAGAAGAAGAAGAAGAAGAGGAAGAAGAGGAAGAAGAGGAAGAAGAGGAAGAAGAGGAAGAAGAGGAAGAGGAAGAAGAAGAAGAAGAAGAAGAAGAAGAAGAAGAAGAAGAAGAAGAAGAAGAAGAAGAAGAGGAAGAAGAAGAGGAAGAAGAAGAGGAAGAAGAAGAGGAAGAAGAAGAAGAAGAAGAAGAAGAAGAAGAAGAAGAAGAAGAAGAAGAAGAAGAAGAAGAAGAAGAAGAAAAAAGATGGGAGTCAGAAGAGTGGTCACCCTTTGGGGCAACTGACTTAAAGGGGCTGCAAGGGGGACTTCTGTGGGCTGGTATGCTCTGTTTGCTAGTTCACCGTTTAACCCTTGTGGAAATTCTTTGAGCTGTACTCTTAGAGTTTGCATACCTTTCTTCTTCTTCTTCTTTTTTTTTTTTTTAAAGATAGGATCTCACTCTGTCACCCAGGCTAGAGTGCAGTGACTCTGTCATAGCTCATGGCAGCCTCAACTTTCCAAGGCTCAAGGGATTCTCCCTCCTCAGTTGCCCAAGTAGCCAGGACTACAGGTGCACACCACCATGCCCAGCTAATTTTTTGATTTTTTTTTTTTTAAGAGATGGGGGGGTCTCTCTGTGTTGCCCAGGCTGGTCTCGAACTCCTGGCCTCAAGCGATCCTCCTGCCTCAGGCTCCCAAAGTGCTGGGATTACAGGTGCCAGCCACCGTGCCTGGCCTGTGTACTTTTCTATATGTATATTATGTTTCAATAAATTAATAAACAGGAATGAAATGATATGGTGAATAAACAAAAATAATTCTGCAGTTAAGGAAACGTTATATGGGAGCCACGGCCTCCCTATCCTCTCTCCCTCCTTCCTTGAGATAAGACTATTTCTCTCTCTCTGTCTCTCTTTGCCGCTTTCCTGGGAATATCCATTTCTCTTTTTTTTTTTTTTTTTTTTTTTTTTGCCAGAATATTTCTCATTTCAAGGGAAAGGGCTGGCTGGCTACAGCATGTCAGACCCCAGCTGTTTTCCATACTTCTGCCTTTCCCTGCCTTTGGCAATGGAGTCTATCCTCTGAAAACTCTCTCCTACAATGAGACACCCCCACACTTTACCCCCCTCTCCCCACCAAACAAGGCCCATTACCTCCTTCCAAACCCCAACGTGGCAGGTTCCCAGAAACAGAGTCCCCGACCCTTACCCAGGGTCTTTGGCTCAGTCTCCATTCCAGATTCCTGGCTTATCCTCCAGAGCTTGCTAGTGCCGTTCCAGTCCCTGGGATCTGGGGTACCCCTGGGACCCCAAGTCAAGACCTCCTCTTGGCTTACATGAGGACATTTACAAACAGCCCTTCCCAAATAAGGTCACATTTCTGAGGGTCTGAGTGGACAATGAATTCTTGGGGTATGTTATTCAACCCAGTACGGATGTATTGCAGAAATAATCCCCCCACCCTGCAGATTGCCTTTCTACTGTCTTACGGGTCTCCCTCCCTCCCTCCCTCCCTTCCTTCCCTCCCTCCCTCCCTTCCTTCCTTCTTTCCTTCCCTCCCTCCCTCTCTTTCTTTCTTTACCTTCTTTTCTTCCTTCTTTGCCATCTCTCTCCCTCCCCTCTTTCTCCTTCCTTTTCTTCTTTCCTTCCTTCCTTCTTTCTTTTCTTTTCTTTTCTTTCTTGCCTGCCTGCCTCCCTCCCTCCCTCCCTCTTTCTCTTTCTTTCTTTTCTTTTTCTTTTTCTTTGTTTGTAGTGGTGTGATCATAGCTCCCTGCAACCTCAAAATTCTGGGCTCAAGCAATCCTCCCACCTCAGCCTCCTGAGTACCTGGAACTACAGGCGTGCACCACCATGCACTGCTAATTTAAAAAAAAAAATTGCAGAGATGGGGTCTTGCTGTGTTGCCCAGGCGGGTCTTGAATTCCTGGCCTCAATCTCCTGGCCTTAAGCAATCCTCCCACCTTGGCCTCCCAAAGTGCTAGCATTACAGGCAGGAGCCACTGTGCCCAGCCTCTTATGGATGTCTTCTAATGGAGTTTAATATAGTTTTATTTATCAACTTTCCTCCTGTATGGGTAAGTGATTATACCCTGTTTATAAAACATGTGAGGCCTGACATGGTGGCTCACACCGGTTATCCCAGCACTGTGGGAAGCCGAGGCAGGCAATCACTTGAGGTCAGGAGTTCGAGACCAACCTGGCCAACGTGGTGAAATCCTTTCTCTACTAAAAATACAAAAATTAGCCAGGTGTGGTGGTGAGTGCCTGTAGTCTCAGCTACTCGGGAGACTGAGGCAGGAGAATAGCTTGAGCCTGGAGGGCGGAGGTTGCAGTGAGCCAAGATCACACCACTGCACTCTGACCTGGGCGAGAGAGACTCCATCTCAAAAAAAAAAAATTTTTTTTGAGTCCTTTCACCCAAGGGGCATGTCTGTCTATAAATGGCTTCTGCTGAAACTCCTGTTTTTTTTCTTTTTTCTTTTTTTTTTTTTTTTTTGAGACAGAGTCTTGCTCTTTTCACCCAGGCTGGAGTGCAATGGCACGATCTCGGCTCACTGCAACTTCTGCCTCCTGGGTTCAGGCAATTCTCCTGACTCAGCCTCTGGAGTAGCTGGGATTACAGGTGCACACCACCACACCTGGCTAATTTTTGTATTTTTAGTAGAGACGAGGTTTCGTCATGTTGGCCAGGCTGGTCTCGAACTCCTGACCTCGTGATCCGCCCACCTTGGCCTCCCAAAGTGCTGGGATTACAGGTGTGAGCCACCGCGCCTGGCTGAAACGCCTTCTTGGTACTTGTGTCTGAGGCCCCCTCAGTCAGGGCCTTGAGTATGCCCTTGATGTCAGCCCATAGCTGGTGGCCCTGGCTCCTGCTCTCTTCCCTCCAGGCCCTTCCCTGTGGCTGAAGCCCCTTCCCCATACCCTTCAGGTTGCTGCCTGGGCTCCAGGTTCCTCTATGTGGATCTCCCAGGAGCCCCCATTGGCTGTGGTTCCCAAGGTCTAGGCTGCCATCTGGGCTTCCCACTTCTCGGCCTCCCAAACTGCTGGGATTATAGGCATGAGCCGCCGTGCCTGGCTGTAAGTTTTAATGAGGTTATAAGGGTGGAAATCTGATCCAATATGACAGGTGTCCTTACAAGAAAAGAAGCCAGGCATGGGTGACCCATGCCTGTAATCCCAGCACTCCCAGGCAGGAGGATTGCTTCAGCCCAGAAGTTCAAGAAGTAAGTAAGGTTTTTTTTTCACCCCTTTTTTGTTTATTTTTATTTATTTACTTATTTATTTATTATTTTTTTTTGAGACGGAGTCTTGCTCTGTCGCCCAGGCTGGAGTGCAGTGCCGTGATCTCCGCTCACTGCAAGCTCCGCCTCCCGGGTTCACGCCATTCTCCTGCCTCAGCCTCCCGAGTAGCTGGGACTACAGGTGCCCGCCACCTCGCCTGTCTAATGTTTTTTGTATTTTTAGTAGAGACGGGGTTTCACCGTGTTAGCCAGGATGGTCTCGATCTCCTGACCTTGTGATTCGCCCGCCTCGGCCTCCCAAAGTGTTGGGATTATAGGCGTGAGCCACCATGCCCAACCACCCCTTTTTTATTTTGAGACAGGGTCTCACTCTGTCACCCAGGCTGCAGTGCAGAGGTGTGATCACAGCTCACGGCAGCCTCCATCTCCCCAAGCTCAAGTGATTCTCCCACCTCACCCTCCCAAGTAGCTGAGACCACAGGCATGCACCACCACACCTGGCTACTTTGTTTTTATTTTTATTTATTTATTTATTTAGAGACAGAGTCTCGCTGTGTTACCCAGGCGTGTTACCTGCGATTTCAGCTCACTGCAGCCTCCGCCTCCTCTGGCTCAAACAATCCTCTTACCTCAGTCTCTTGAGTAGCTGGGACTACAGGCATGTGCCACCACGCCCAGCTACTTTCTGTATTTTTAGCAGAGATGGAGTTTCACCATGTTGGCCAGGCTGGTCTTGAACTCCTGATCTCAGGTGATCCACCCACCTCGGCCTCCCAAAGTGCTGGGATTACAAGCGTGAGCCGCCATGCCTGGCTGTAAGTTTTAATGAGGTCATAGGGGTGGGACTCTTATCCAGTATGACAGGTGTCCTTATATGAAAGAAGCCAGGCATGGGTGACTCATGCCTATAATCCCAGCACTCCCAGGCGGGAGGATTGCTTCAGCCCAGAAGTTCAAGACCAGCCTGGTCAACATAGTGAGATCCCATCTCTACAAAAAATAAAAATTAGCCAGACATGGTGGCGCGTGCCTGTAGTCCTAGCTACTCAAGAGGCTGAAGCGGCAGGCTCCCTTGAGCCCAAGAGTTTGAAACCAGTCTGGGCAATGTAGTGAGACCCTATCTCTACATAAAATACAAAAATTAGCCGGGTGTGGTGGCACGCGCCCGTAGTGCCAGTTCCTTGGGAGGCCGAGGCAGGAGGATTGCTAGAGCCCAGGAGTTCAAGGCTGCAGTGAGCTGTGGTCACACCACTGCACTCCAGCCTGAGCAACAGAGCAAGACCCCTATCTTAAATAAATAAATAAATAAATAAATAAATAAATAAATGCAACAGGGAGACAGTAAAGAGGGTTTTTTTGTTTGTTTGTTTGTTTTTTTGAGATGGAGTCTCACTCTATCGCCCAGGTTGGAGTCCAGATCAGCTCACTGCAACCTCCACCTCCTGGGTTCAAGCAATTCTCCTGCCTCAGCCTCCCGAGTAGCTGGGACTACAGGTACCCGCCACCACATTCAGCTAATTTTTGTATTTTTAGTAGAGATGTGGTTTCACCATGTTGACCAGACTGGTCTCAAACTGCTGACCTCCAGGGATCCACCCATCTCAGCCTCCCACAGTGCTGGGATTACAGGCACGAGTCACCACATCCAGCCAAATGTTTGCTGAATTCTTATAGCCCCAGCATTGTCCAAGGCTCTGGAAACACCGTGGTGGACAGGACACCATCCCTGTCCTTAAGAAAGGTGAGTATAGAATTTGAGCATAAGTAGAGAAGGAAGAAAGAGAGAAAGAGAAGGAGAGGAAAGGAAGGGAAGAAAGGGAAGGAACGGAAGGGAAGAAAGGGAAGGAAGGGAAGGGAAGGGAAAGGAAGGGAAAGGAAGGAAGGAAAACAGAGAGAGAAAGAAAAGAAAAGAGAAAAGAAAAGCAGACAGGCCGGGTGCAGTTCCTCACACCTGTAATCCCAGCACTTTGGGAGGTTGAGGTGTGCAGATCACTTGAGGTCAGGAGTTTGAGACCAGGCTGGCCAACATGGTGAAACTGGTCTCTACTAAAAATACAAAAATTAGCCAGGTGTGGTGGCACGTACCTGTAATCCCAGCTACTCGGGAGGCTGAGGCAGGAGATCACTTGAACCTGGGAGGCGGAGGTTGCAGTGAGCCGAGATTGCGCCACTGCCCTCCAGCGAGGGCAACAGAGAGAGACTCCGTCTCAAAAAAAAAAAAAAGAAAGAAAAAAAAGAAGAAGACGAAAAAGGAAAAAAAAAAAAGAGAGAGAGCAGTAAGGTGAGAGGATGTAAAGAAACTCCCTGTCTGCTGTCCCAGTGAGGCCTAAACATGGGGAGCCAGAGAGGGGAGTCAGAGGAGGCACAGTGTGTTAGGAGGGGTTCCCCAGCCCTGGGAAGCTCTTCCTGGAGGAAGCAGCATCCTGGCTTGTGTGCAACAGAGACTGAGCAGAATCAGGAAAAGAAAAACATGTCTCGGCCGGGTGCCGTGGCTCACACCTGTAATCCCAGCACTTTGGGAGGCTGAGGCAGGAGGATTGCTTGAGCCCAGGAGTTCAAGACCAGCCTAGGCAACATAATGGGACCCTGTCTCTACAAAATCTTAAAAGTCAGCTGGGCATGGTGGCACGTGTCTGTAGTCCCAGCTACTTGGGGAGGCTGAGGCAGGAGGATCACTTGAGGCCAGGAGGTTGAGGCTGCAGTGAGACATGACCACACTGCTGCACTCCAGCCTGGGTGACAGAGTGAGACCCTGTCTCAAACAAACAAACAACTAAAAAACCATGTCTCCTGGAGTTGGAAGAAAAACAAACTTTTGTTTGTTTATTTCCAGTTAATCCATTTACGCTGAAAGCTGTTCTAGGGCAGTGGTTCGTTCGTTCGTTTGTTCTTCCTTCCTTCCTTCTTTCCTTCCTTCTTACTTTCTTGCTTTCTTCTTTTTTCTTTCTCTCTTGCTTTATTCTTTCCTTGTCTTTTCTTTCTTTCTTTTTTTTTCTTTCTTGCTGTCTTGCTTTCTTCTTTCTTTCTGTTTCTTTT